AAGGTTTATTTTAATTAAGTGCTTTTAATATAGGTTTTAACGTAATTAAATCTTTTATTTTCTAGAATACTGTAGCTTCTAGTGGAACTAGTATTTTAAGGCTTTAACTAAGAGTTTATTATCCTATAGAGTTTAAGTTTATAGTACCTTATATATATATCGTTTATATTTCTTAAGAGTATTTAAATAAATAAGGATATTATTAAGGTATATAACCACGAACACTTCTAGTTATTTTCGTAAGATCGTATTAATTATTCTTTAAAAGGTTACTAGTACGTTAGTAAGCCTAAAAGAAACCTAAATTATTTAAATCGCCTAATAATCCTAATAATCCCGTCTTATTAGATTATCTATATAATCTAATAAGCTATTACGTAATCTAATGTTCTTATTAGTTAGTAGCTATGCCTACCCTTACTAGTGCGGCCCAGCTTCCCGCGTCTCGTATAGTAACGTTCGTAACAACTAGTTAATACCCTTTTACACTTTATAGCTTCTAGTATAAATATAGCTCTTTCTTATAAGTTAATCTATAATAATAATCTAAGAAAGCGTAATATACTAATTAATACTATTTAACGCTTTATAGCTTTTAAAATAAAGCTTAGCTCTTTCTTATAGGTTAATTCTCTCTCTCTTTATTATAATAATAATCTTAGAAAGTATAACGTATTAGTTAATACCCTTTCCTTTTACACGAAGTATATTAAGCCTCTTCTTCCCTTTATAATAAAGTATAGCGGTTAGCTAATTAATTAGATTAAGTTAAGGTGTAAGCTAGTTACTTTCTCTTTCTCTTTCTCTTTCTCTTTCTCTTTCTTTTCTCTTCTCTTATAACTAAACTATAAGAAGAAGAGAGGGGAAAGTGTAAGCTATTACTCGCTTATATATTTATATATAAACTTATACTTAATTATAGGACTTATAAGTAACTCTTACTCCCCTCTCCTCTCTCCCCTCTCCCTCTCTCCTCTCTCTCTTCTCTCTCTTAACTCTTAAAGGGCCCTTACCCTTAAGCCAGGTAACTCTTAACCTTAATAGAAAAAAAAAAAATTTTTCTCACCGCTTACCTAATTAAGCGGGCCCGTGCAGCTGGTAGCCAGCGCGCCCTGGTAGCTAGCGTGGTAGCCCAAGCGCCCGCCCCCACGGCACCACGGCAGAACCCCGCTCACCGCTCGAAATCCGGCGCCGACTACCGCGAACCTCGTGGTTAGGCTGGTCACATTGTCGGAACTCGAGTTACATGCCCACTCCTAATGGTCCCCAACGTTCCATTCCACGCATTGCAGTTGTTTCGGCCGTGTTGATGTATATAGGACTCGGTAATTGCTCAACGGATCCCTCTGATACATTTTCCCGGCCTTCTGACATTCATCGCCGTGGCCACAGACGCCATCACGTCGATGACTATGGATCCCCGTCAACCGGAGAACAGCGCGATTCTTACGACGGTCCCCTCGGAGCTGGCCGAGGTGGACTTTATTATAGCCAGAGGGGGCACGGCAGGCTCCATTGTCGCGGCCAGGCTGTCGGATGCACATCCCCAAGCCGATATACCAGTGATTAAAGCCGGGCCAGAGAGTTTTCATCTTGCGGCTGTTGCCTATCCCGCACCCGCACTTTACCGAAAAAACATCTCTCCTGCGAGCTCCACCATAAAATTCTACTTTGCGGCGCCAGATACGCAGCTGGCCAACAAATCAATCCCAATCCTCGCCAGCAGGACTCTGGGAGGAGGATCCACGGTGAATCTTCTCATGTATGCCCGCGGCCAGAAGGCCGACTTTAATGGCTGGAAGGAGAAGGGGTGGTCGGCCGAGGAACTTGTTCCTTTTCTTCAAAAGGCGAGCATTTCTTGTCGTTCTACTCCCCCAAGGCGAAGCTATCGACTAATGTCTGCCGCAGTCGAACCCGCCTCAGCAAAGGTGCTTAAAGACATCCCGGTCGGTCAGGTTCCATATCTTTCGCCAGAAGAGCTTATTGTTTCTAAAATACAGTCAAGTTAGCAGCGACTAGATCTCGCAAAGAAGCAAATTGATATCAGTAATGCAGAGGCGGTACTAAAGAAGTATCCCAAGGAGATATTCGCCAGCGAGAGCAATCGCTAAATTACCGAGAAGTTTTTTAGCGAACAAGCTCATCCTCTGACACCGAAACCCCACAAGCTTGGCCTTGATTTCTGCAGGAGATCTTTTCCTTACAAAAAAACGAGCTATCTAATAGGCGCTCGAAGGCTGCAGGATAGGCCGCTTACGTGGGCGGCAAGATAGCACAGGCAAGGCGGATAGCAGATTCGCAGTTAGCACGAGAGTCTAATAAGAATTTCGCTCGAGTAAGCACGCGTAACGCTGACTAGTGTATGGAAGTAAGCATCAGAATGCTTACTTTACTAGCAGCTATTACTATAGTAGAGGCCTGAATACTATTCTTAGATTCTAGCTTAGCTTTAAACACGACTATTACAACAATCCAAGTGCTACACTTTGATCTCTTGTTACGACCCAGCGCGTAGTCTACAATCCCCAAACACCAGACAGTTATTGTCAGGACCGGCGGCAGCCCGGTTGGCAGGATCAAGAAAGCCCGATCGCTGAGGCCAGCGTTGGTCCCTTGATGCAAGTCCCGCAACGCGACCAGCTTTAATAATTGTAGCTACTATGGGTGTAATGAAAATATCACGTTCCTAGAGAAAGCGATATTCATTACAATGACGCACATATAAATCATCACCAGGAGCATGAGGTTGTGGCATAAAGCGCTTATACTAATTGACTCGCGACATGAATGTTGCTAGCAATTAGTATGTGAGCGCGATGTACCGAGCGATTGGATCAGGATCAGGAGCCTGGCGCGCACACTCATGCTAACACAGGCAGGCGGTGCTCGGGTATAAATAGGTGATGAGCGAGCGTATAGTAGATAGCAAGTGACACTGATGAGAACAGGTCATAACTACTAATAGTTACCTTCCCAGCATAACGTTGCCATACCGTCTCTTTACACCGTAAGCTACACGTTACCGCCCTGGGACACGCTGCCGTCCCGAGGCACACGATAATCAACAGAACTACAACCTCGGCAACGGCTTGTCGCTTATTTGTTCTCTTGTAGCCAGTCGTCGCACCACAGCTCATTAGCAGTACTCCGTTGCTCCGGAGCCCACTGGAGCATCTTCCGCATGAATTCCAGGAATTGTCTTCTTTCGTCCCCAGAAAGAAGTGCCTCTAGCTCCTCTAGCGGTGTTGGGGGCGGTAATTGAATTCCTCCAATATATGTGCCTAATAGGTTGAACTTGTTAGACGAAACCAAGACATGATAGATATATTGCGTATAGGGACTGCTTACCTTGATCCGAAAAGAATTTATTAGTGAGCTGGCCCCGTGAAAGGAGATCCTTTGGCGGAAGCCCTAATACCCCAATGATTTCGGCGAGATGGGCCCTCCTACGATACTCGAGATGTTCCGGGTCGATGGCATGGAATAATAAGTCACCCTCAAACAGATTCCAGGCCTGCATTGTTGGGTTAGAATAAGTAAAAAGAACCCATCGTAGGCGGCGGGCGACTTACCATACACCCGACATTCCAGATGTCAATCTTGTGATCCCAATGGCATTTTAGAATCACCTCAGGTGCCCGGTAGACGTGGGGCTGTACACAGGCGATGTTCTCGCGGTCTGCAAATACTGCAGCACCAAAGTCGCATAGAACTGGCGGGCCAATCCTGCCCGTGGATTTAAATGCCCGAGATGTATAGATAGTCCTCCCTTCTAACTCCTTGCGGGGGCAGGGAGCTTGTAGTTCTTGCTCCGCAAAGTCGGTTAAGATAGAGGGATCAGTGATGCGAAACATAATATTATCAGCCTTAATATCTGTTTTGAATAGTCAGTCTCTTGCGATACTATTATATAAAGGACGTAGGGCCCCTTACCGGTATGAATGATTTGACACTCGACATGCAAATAATCAAGGGCAAGGAATATGTCTTTCAGAATATAGCGTAGGCCCGAGGGGGGGAGCCTTCGGGGGGAACTGCGACGGATGCCTACCTCGAGGCTGTCACCTAGCGGTGGATGGGCGAGGACTAAGTGTTCTCCATCTGGCCCGTTTACTTGAAAAGAGTCTAGTAAGGTTCTAATAGCATTCCGACCTGCATGATAAGATGGGCACTGCTCTATGCGCTTATATATAGATATTTCATTTTTAACATCATCACCAAGCGCCTGGGAGCGTATAAAGACTTTGAGGGTGACATGGTCGTCCTGGCTATTATCTTATGTAAGAATTGGTTTAGATAGACTCTATAAGCATCGTAACTGAAATACCTTAGATCGTGTGCTAGCCAGACTGTCGAGGTAGCACCAAAGCCAAGCTTCCCAACTACTTGATACCGGTCGGCAAATACTTCGCCGATCTGCACGGGGTAGTAACGCGCTGGGAGATAGTCTGGCAAAGTCTCCTCCTCCACCTTCTGTTCGGGTGGGATTCTAATGAAGTTAGGGTTAGAATATACACGGGGTCGCAGCGGCGCCCTACGACAAATTCGAGACAACACTTTTGAAATGAAAGACATGTTCGGTGAGAGCGTTGGTTAGAGCGGCTTGAAGGGGGAGGCTGAGGTCAAGAAATTAACTACGATTTGGAATCTAGGGTTTCCAGGTCAGTGTACGCTGGTCACGTGACTTGAGCGGCTGCCTCGTGGCAGGATCTTGAGACCGGAGGGGCGCCCCCTACATATTGGTCTAGTAATTTCTCAACTAGAACACTGAGTGGACCATATTCCGTGGACATGACGAACTTTCGTCAGAAATGGTGGGCATCCTTTGACCACTGTCGACCTTCTAGGTCTTGTGATCCCTATGATTTATGATAGGAATTGCCTCAATCTTCACTAATGACTGACGCACAGTCCCCTGACCGTGATGGACTCGAAGTTGCTCTGTCGGCGTGGCCTATCTCTCGGATCAAATGGTCAATTACGCACGCAACTAGAGAGGAGGCAAGTCGCGGTGCTAGTCACGCTATGCCGTGCGGGCCTCTTGGCGCTAAGCTTGATTTGGCACCTTGAGCGCTTAATTCTGGTAGATCCGCTGCACTAATGCAGGAGCCGTTTGAGTGGGCGAGCAATGACCTGCACCTTTTCTCCTTTCTTAATAAGTTGGCCATTATCGTGGCCGGGCCAAGCTATAGCCACGGTGAATATTAATAGCGTCTCTACAACTCACCAATAAACGTGGTGCATTACTACTTACAGCGCTTCTTGAAACTTAGCTACGCGGCCTTTGTTTCATCGGGGATGTGCTGTCACATCACGCGTCAGCGAGATTCGTCCTCGATGTTGAGGAGTCAGGACCATGGTCATGTCGGTGTAAATTTCGCCTTGGAGCTTTGTACATACTATGTAGACCCTCTACTTGAAGCACATGAGAGGATTCTTGGAGATTTAGCATCTATAAATACTGGCTCTCCTTTTCCATTTTAGAGTAGCGACACACCTCGACTACATTACAAACCGCGACATATCTCTTTATTTCCCTCCTTCTTTAGTCTCTAGCGAGCTCGTCGGGTTTCTCATTTTTCTATCGACTTAAAATGTCTCGTTTCTTTTCTTCCTCGGCTGCCAATGCCAAGGCTGCTTTCAAAAGACTTCTGGGATATCCCCTTGAGAAGCTCGATCCACGGTGGAAGTTGGCTGTGGAGACTTACAAGAAAAAAGGAGGTCCTCACGTCAGTCAAGTCAAGCAATATCCCATATATTGTCCTTTCGAGTAAGCAAAGTAACTTACCTAGGAAAAATGAATAGAAAACCGGTCAGAATGTAGCTGATATTGTGGTCTAGTAAGTTTGCATCTCCACTATTATCTTTATACATCATACTATCATGAAAACCCAAGATACTAATACGCTACTCTCCGTTAGCTACCCGGCAGATAGCTCCAGTCCAGTCCATACCTCCCGATATAATCCGAGCGATACGAGACCGATACTCAGTGTTAAGCTTAAGTTGGCGGATGGCAGCTTTGCTCCGGGCACCCATCATATCTTCAACGACGGTACGGGCACAGCTAAGAAGGATGATGATCCGGAGTAATCAAGGAAGGCGGGGGAAGAATGCTTCAGATTTTCGGCGTTTCTATTTACATATAGGGAGAATTAACATTGTACTACATTGCCCCCTCTAACTTGTAAAAGCGGGCAGCTTGTAGCACACCAGTTTCAGACACCGAATGCAAACCGCTTGTAGTGCTAAACGCTCAAGTATTAAAGGTGCAGCAATCGTAGTATTACAGGGACGGCCCGTAGCACTACTGTTAATTTCGTCCGATTCGAAACTATCTTATAGCTGCAGTAGCGACTACTTTTTAAACTGCCTTTCTTCTATCCAATACTCGACTTCAGGTCTCTGAGGATCCAAGATCAATTTAGGGATCCGAGGACCCAAGAGGTCTCTATATACAAGAAGCGGTCAGGGCTAGAAGCCTAAGGCAGTCAGGGTCCTCGTGACCGTTAATGTCGTCGTGTAACCGTGATGTTAGCCCAACCTACGTTGTGTTAGCGTTGTTCGCTTGTGTGACGGTTAGATGACCTTTGCCGTGTAACATCCACTTACTACACGCTAGTATCAGCATTTTCTTCACTCTTTATTAATATCACGTTAAGAGCTATGAAAGAGATTGAATAGTGGAAATACTCCTTGGGATTAAAGCTATTTAGGTACGGAAAATAAGCTCTTATTATAGATATTAAAGGTTATTTAATAAGTTAGCTAGAAAGTTATTAATTAAGGGATTTAACTATTAAAAGTTAAGTTCTAATAGAGTTATAATATAAGTCTTTAGGAAGCTTTTTAGTAGCTATATTAATATAATCATAGGAAGCTTTTTTAAGGCTTTTTAAGGCTTTTTAATAATACTGAGAGATAATAGGCTTTTTTATTAAAAGGGGCCTTTAGCGTTAATATACTCTTATTAAAGGTGAAGATTATTTTGCTTAGTATTTAAAGTAATATTATAAGTATATATAACGCGAGTATTATATAAGCGTAATATCTAATAATATAGTATTAGGCTGCACTAGGCTAAGAATAGTAAGAGATTAGAAAATAATATACTCTTATAGTTTAGATTAATAGCTAGTTATTAAAGCTATTAATAGCTATTAAGGTAAGCTAAATTAATTAATTTAAGCTCTTTTAATGCCCATAAAAACGGCGAAGATATGTCTTTCTACACAACGCAGCCCTATACCTGCTGGTTACATATGCCAATGGATGATGGCGAGCTCATCACCGAGATTTACAAAGGCTGCGGTCAATTACATCAGGACAGCGCACTAGGAGTTGGTCAAACCCCAGTTGTACTATAGTTTTCGCCAGAGCTGACAACTTTCCAGATAAAAACCAGCAAGGGTCGCTGTTTCTTGGCAGGTGTCTGCAATAGCCACGCAAGGCGCTGGGCCCTCATAGACCGCCCAGGTCAGGGGGTCAGTCAGATGTTCTATGAAGTTTCAAATACAGGCATCAACGTACTAGCTTTTGAGGATGTTGACTACAGCGCAATTAACCAAGAGTTCCACCCGCCTTTGCCACCACCTACTTCCATACGCATGAGTCAACAAGATTACTTCTATTCATCTTCCGATCTACGGGGCTTAAATCATATAACTCCTTGTAGAACGGAGCATAGAAGCGGCGTCACTGGTTTGCTGTTGTCTTTTGCAGATGGGCGCCGGGAGAGTGTGGGCCAGGTTCGTCTGGACTTACTCACCGAACAACTGGATGTTAGTGAGAACCAGACGGCGGTTCTAGGGTTTCGGAGACAAAAAGGAAGGTTTCCGTCGCCTTATGTGGCGGACATTGCATCTCTGGACTCCGAACTAGGGAAGGATTTCGTTACTATTATACAAATCTTTTGCAGAGGCAAGTTGGAGTGGTTTTGGACCTGGTTTCAGTGTTACGTAATGTACGAAGGGCAGGAAAGCCCACGAACTATATAAGTATCATGCTCGTCTTTTATCATCTTCACGAATTATATCCTGCGACGATGTGAATTAGCGCTAATAAGATAATGTTCCCACCTTCCCCTCTCGATTATAGGCACGAACATCATGTCCTTGTCTGCGAGACATCACAACTGCGAAGCAAACTGCGAATATACACTACCAACTTCAATATCTATAAGGCAACATCACCCCTCTAAACAGTGTAAGAAAGCCGTAGACTGAACCCAGCACTTCAAAGGCATATACCCGAACCACTTGTGCATATCCTCGTCTGACTATGGATGGGCTTGGAAGCCATCACTCGACAGAGATTTGGGTTATTCTGCAAGGATTATAAGAATATCACACTCTGTATGCCATCACATTCGTCAAATGTTCCGCCAGCGCTAGAACTTTTCTTTTTTGGGCGGTTGATGAGGATCTTGCACTGCGGAGTAACACCTTTGGAGTAGTTTTTGCGAGACCTGGCCGGGAAACGTCCTTCTTTGGCTTCCCAGCGTGTTTGAATCGCAGAGCCGCCACTATGAAAGTATTAAAGAGGATCATGGCCAATGACCCTAGCCAGCCTCACTCAAGCACATGCATTGGCAACCTCGGGGAAGATAGAGGAAGCAGCGGGGATTGAGCAGGCAGTGTGAGTGTCGTATGGTTCAAGCGCTTCTGCCGGCTGGTGTTGAAGTTTAGCTGTTCGGGATGCCTAATGCATCACGTCTTACGAAACGAGGGGAGGTCTGTGGTAAATTTGTCGGATAATGCCTCTGTAGACTGAAGTCGCAGAGCTTGGAGTAATTGCTGGATGTCATAGCGTCGGCTATCATGACTAAACTTAGCCGAAAGTTAAATTCGGACGAAAGGAAGTTTTTGGTATTAAAAAGAGAGCTGCAGACGGAGTCTGCAGCACTCGAAACAACGAACAATAATAATTTTATCAAGAAGCTTAGTTAACATGAGTCTCATAACGTGACAAAAGGCTGAGTTACATGTCAGCAAGCCAGAGATTTTGCTTGATCATAAATGAAACGCATGACGAAGTGGTTTTGCATGGGTCGGCGACTAAAAGCCGCCGTCTGACCCAATGGACTACCAAAAAATCAAACACGACTATGTGGAGCGTTGTGTTCTCTTTGCGCAACAAATGCCGAACCATGGATAAAGGAAGTCATATTAGCGACGCCAACTATCAACAAGCAATTGAAAGCAATGTTCAACCGACAAATTCGTTTCGTGTGGAACGAAACTACCTTTTCCCATGAGCCTAAATATTTGGTACGTGATCGTGACACTTATCTTTGAAGTTTCGACATAGCACATCGGCACGAAGAGCTCATCTATCACAGCCATTATCCTAGCCACAATGCACTTTGACCTGTCGATACGTCTATCCCAACCAGCAGAAGGCCGACTGTCTCCTTCACCGCAAACATGTCTGACAACGTTATCAATCCTCATCGCTAGGCCTTTCCGGGGAATCAACAGGTCGACAACCAACCAAGCAATGTACAGAGAGCTCCGCGGACTGTACAAGATTCTTGAGGTTTTGCAAAGACCCGATTGGCCAGGTTATCACTTCTTTCCGCTAAATGCTAGGATCAGGCACAGGGCAGCTGTACCCCACATCGGCCTAGGCCGTCAGTGGATATTTCCCGGCCCCCAGATCGATGCAGCACCAAAACATAGGACGTGATCGGCTCTCGTCGCCGACTGGTGCTCACTCAACGCAGCAGTCCAGAATTGCAGCCCAACCTTGCTGAGACGCCTCTGCCCTCGAGGGGAACAAGCTCTATTAAATCTTGAAATTCCTCGAGAATCATGACTCGAATTCACCCCCACGCACGATCATCCATCACCTGCGACAGCGAGCAGAGTGCTTCGCCAACTTCGCCAACTTCGCCAACTTTTTGAAAAAAAAAAAAAGACTCAATCACTCTGATGCATGCGGAACATCGCCGACTCAAAGCGCCGGCACCCCTACTGCGGGAAGACCCAACCGCGACATCTAACAAGGATCGACAGCAGCGAGTTAAAGAAGAAGTTGTACAAATTTCGGCAAATTCGTCAAGCCTAGACCGATTACGTATCTACAGGCAAGGTTTCTGGTGGTCAAATACGTAGCAGCGCATGATCTCAATAAAAACGTCTGGTAGCGTCTGTTACTATGTTACTGCATGTATTCCACCCCGTCTGTCAAGTTCGCTTAGCCTCTGCGAAATCATTCATTCACAGGCTATAGGGTTGGGCATCAATGCACCTCGGCTTTTCGACGCAGGTGGCCGTGTTTGGCCAGGGGAAGAGAGGAAAGAGAGAACTACCGCGCCCGTCGTAGCCCGTTTTCTCAATAATCTTGAGGAAACCTCAAAAAACTGAAGAGAGAGTAAATCTCACCAACGTGCATCCACACACAAAATCGCTCTGTCAAACCTGCACTACTCAGTAATGCAGGTCAATCAAGGACGACGCTGTCTCGTCGTGTTTGTTAAAAGTAGGGTAGAGAACGACTGACAGGATACCCGCCCCGACATAGATTTGGCAAGGCGAAAGGGACACTTCGCCTCTGCTATCGTGCATTGTCTTGGAGTGTGACAGTGAGATGTGACGGGCCGTGTCGGGCAAAATCCACCGCAGTGACTTCGGTAGACACGCACTTCTGTAGGGAACCTTGGGCTGATCTAAATCGAAAGACCTGGAGGGAATGTTCATGAAAGAACTGGGAACCCAGGCGAGTCTATAAGGCAAGATATCTTAATTTTTTGTGGGTGAATGAGAAGTGGTAAAAGTCATGCCGGCGTAAGGTTCATGGCGGCATAGCAATTCCCATTCGATTTTTTTGTGTCCTCGCGCCAAGTATTTTGAACAAAGCATGTTAGTTTAGGCGATACAGTCCAATTCAATCTACTCGTGCCACTGAATGTGGTTTCGATTCAACATGTCGTACTCCTGATCCCACATAAACTCCGCCGCATGTTTACGTCACCACAATCTATAAACACGACATGCACCAGACCGAGTAGCATCGCGGCTTATGTCCGTTATGAGTCATTGCAGTACTTTCAATACATGTACGCGGAACAGTAGATCCAGTACACCTCTATC